GCTGGGAGGCATCCACTGGTGCTGGAGCTGCCTCTGGGGTGCCCGCTGGTGCTGGGGGGGCAACACGGGACCTCCACTGCCGCTGCTGGTGGGAGTTGGCCCTGCCGGCTCGGGACCGCCGCAGCTGCTGCTGGCGGAGGGCGGCCTGGGACTGCCACTGTTGCGGGGAGCTGGGCAGGGGATGGGGGTAGTGCGGCTGGCCCCAGGGCCACCCCAAAACTTGGGGTCAGTTGCACCTGCCAGCTGCAGAAGTCCCAGAGGTCCCGGAAAGTCATGGAATCCGTTACCTCTGTGAGAGACTTGCAGCCTTACTTATAATCTCTTAAAATCTATCCTTTGTAGTTAATAAACTTGTTTTGTTTTTTTTAAACCAGTTTGTGCAATTCATAACGGGGTGGGGGAAAGCTGTGCATATCTTCCTCCACATTGAGGGAGGGGGTGATTTTCATGACCTTACGCTGTACAGATTTCTGTTCAGCACAAGACAATACAATTTTAGGTTTGCATCCCAGAGGGGTTGTGCTCTTGAATACTAGGCAATCCCCTAGCCGTGCTTTTCACGAAGGCAAAGAGCACAGGAGGCTGGGGCCGGGTTCTGTGGATGCCAAAGCTGGCGTCTGTGTGGGTGCAGGTATGCAATTGTGAGGTGTGCTTGGATGAGCGTGTGTGCACATATGGGTGCCCGTTTGTGTCGGTAAACATGTATGCGTGGATCCATTGGCGTGGCAAGCTGGTCTGTGTAAAAGCATGTTTGCAAAGACTGCAGCTGGGTGTTTTGGGGGGTTTGCGGTGAGATGGCATGTGTCTGTGTGTGTAAGGGACAGTACTCTCCTCTCCTGTCCCTGCCCTCCCCAATGCCCACCTGTACCTGCAATGCCCAGCACAGGTGTGTGCTGAACAGGCTTGGCAGGAGCTGCCTGCTCCCCATGGCGCCTTTGTTTTCCTATCCCTGCCAATTCCCAGCCCAGCCTGCCGAATGGCCCCATTTCTCCCACCGAAGGCCCAGCTCTGGCATGTCTGCTTACTGGCCTGGCAGCTCCCGAGCGCTGCCCCCTGTCCCCTCCCCACATGCTGGCCGGTAATGGATGGGGTGCAGTGGCACCCATGTGATTTGCAAGCGGTTGCTGGAGTTCTGGCAGCGGCACCTGCGGCTTTCCAGTACTTCACCCCCCGGCCTGGGCAGGTGATGGGGGCTTAGCAGGGCAGAGCCGTGCTCTCCCTCTCCTACAGCCTGGAATCTAGCCCTGGTGGAGGGGAGCTAAACGCTGGTGTCAGCTGGAAGGTGCCCAGCCTTTGCACCGAGAGACACAAAACAGAGAAAAGAGCTCTTCCCGAGGGTTTCCCGGCACCCACAGCCCCCTGGGGGGACAGGGCTAACAGGATAGTCCCTGCTTTACAGAGGGGAAACTGAAGCAGGGTGGTGACATAAGACAGGGGTTGGAAAACTACGGTGCGGGGACTGCATCCGGCCCTCCAGACATTTAAATCCGGCCCTTGAGCTCCCGTGGGGGAACGGGGTCCAGGGCTTTCCCAACTCCGCGTGGCTCCTGGAAGCAACGGCATGTCCCCTCTCAAGCTCCTACATGTAGGGGCAGCCAGGGGGCTCTGCATGCTGCCCCCCTCCCCAAGTGCTGCCCCCGCAGTTCCCATTGGCTGGGAACCGCGGCCAGTGGGAGCTGCACAGGTGGCGCGTGTGGACAGGGCAGTGTGCAGAGCCACCTGGCCGCACCTCTGCATAGGAGATGGAGAAGGGACAAGCCCCACCAGGAGCCTGCAACCCTGACCCCCTCCCACGCCCCAACCCCTTGCCCCAGCCCTAATCCCCCTCCCACCCTCCGAACCCTATGGTCCCAGCCCGGAGCACCCTCCCGAACTCTGAACTCCTCATTTCTGGCCCCACCCCAAAGCCCTCACCCTAACCCCTAATTTTGTGAGCATTCATGGCCCGCCATACAATTTCCATACTCAGGTGTGGCCCTCGGGCCTAAAAGTTTGCCCATCCCTGACATAAGATCTGTGGCCCTGGGTCCTGCGACTCAGTGTAATAGAGAGCCTGCGGAGACCCCGTGGCACGACTGGCAGAGCCACGTGGACAGGGCGTGCTGGGGAACACCACTCGGGCACCTCCCCTTTGGTCAGCACATTCTGAACCAGCATCTCGCAGTGAAGAGAGGCCACCAACGCTCCAGCAAACCCAGCCCCCATCTCCTCAGCCTCTGCCCCCTCTTCCCTCACCCCAGCCACCAGCCTCCTCCAACCTCCACCCCTCCCTCCCCTGCCAAAGTCTCCCCACAAGCTTCCTACCACTCCTTCAAGTGCTTGGATCTCCCCCAGCCTCTGCTTCCTCCTTACCCTGTCCAGGTCCCCCCGCAGCCTCTCTCCTCTCCCTGCCCTGCCACCCCAATGCACCAAGGCCCTTAAACTGGGAGAGCCGAGACCTGCTGTGTACACAGAGCTCTTACCCACCAGGATGGGACTCAGCACACACGTGGGCCTACAAGTTTCCCACAGCCCTTATGGGTCAGTTCTTCTCTAGCTCCTCTAGCCCAGCAATCCCTCTGGAGAGCCTCTGGCCCTCGGTTCCCCCAGCACAGGCTGGCTTCCCCCAGCTCTTACTGAGCTGAGTTCTACATGTGCACGCCCCAGGCCACCTGCCGCACACACCTACTGTAGGTCACAGGCAGCGTTTTGTGCTGTTCGCTAGCCGTCAGCCCCATGCTGCCTGGAGTCCAGCCCATGCACCACAGACAGTGAGGCTCTCCACCCAGCTAGGGTGCTGGGGCGTAAAGTGGGGGTCAGTTCAAGCAACCTCCTGGTCAAGCAAAATGAACCCCAAAGTTGCTCTAAGCCTCCATGCCAGGCCCAGTCCTGCGGCCAGTCACACCCACCTGGCCCTAGGGGCAGACGTCTCTAAGGACATAGAATCATAGGACCAGAAGGGACCTCAAGAGATCATCTAGTCCAGTTCCCTGCACTCAAGGCAGGACTAAGTATTATCTAGACCATTCCTAACAAGTGTTTGTCCAACCTGCTCTTAAAAATCCCCAATGATGGAGATTCCACAACCTCCCTGGCCAATTTATTCCAGTGCTTAACTACCTTGACAGTTAGGAAGTTTTTCCTAATGTCCAACCTAAACCTTGCTGCAATTTAAGCCCATTGCTTCTTGTCCAATCCTCAGAGGTTAAGAAGAAGAATTTTTCTCCCTCCTCCTTGTAACAACCTTTTCCGTACTTGAAAACTGTTACCATGTCCCCTCTCAGTCTTCTCTTTTCCAAACTAAACAAACCCAGTTTTTTCAATCTTCCCTCATAGGTCATGTTTTCTAGATCTTTAATCATTTTTGTTGCTCTTCTCTGGACTTTCTCTAATTTATCCACATCTTTCCTGAAATGTGGTGCCCAGAACTGGACACAACACTCCAGTTGAGGCCTGATCAGTGCAGAGTAGAGCAGAAGAATTACTTGTGTCTTGCTTACAACATTCCTGCTAATACATCCCAGAGTGATGTTTGGTTTTTTTTGCAACAGCGTTACACTGTTGACTCATATTTAGCTTGTGATCCACTATTACTCCCAGATCCCTTTCCGCAGTACTCCTTCCTAGGCAGTCATTTCCCATTTTGTATGGGGGCAACTGATTGTTCCTTCCTAAGTGGAGTACTTTGCATTTGTCCTTATTGAATTTCATCCTATTTACTTCAGACCATTTCTCCAGTTTGTCCAGATCATTTTGAATTTTAATCCTATCCTCCAAATCACTTACAACCCCTCCCAGCTTGGTATCATCCACAAACTTTGTAAGTGTACTCTATTCCAGGGCCATCCAAGCCCAGGCCCCTTCAGGGGAAGCTACCGACAGATTCAGCTACTAGCTGGCTCCATTTTATGAGGGCACATGAGAGCAGAAGGCCAGGCAAACTGCCCCCGTTTGCAGAACACGTGCGTGCTAGCTGGTACCGCCTCGGCTACTGCAGTGGGTCTCTGTCTTCCTCTAGCATGCGGATCACACATAGGTTAATGAGTCTGCTACCAAGTCCCAGCTAATGGACTTCGTTCTTTACTTTGCTGGGCAGCTCCTTGGAGTGGGGACCGTCTGTTCTGTGTCTGTACATGCCCAGCACCATGTACTCCTGCGGGAATTCTGCACCACTGTGCGCATGCTGCACTCATGTCCCCCCAGGTTTTTTTGCTTCCCTGCAGAAAATGATGGGCAAACAAAGGGAAACTGCAAGAATGGTCACACAGCCCTCTCCGTCAGTGTGGGTGCATCATTTTGGGTGCCCGGAGCAGCCAGCGGAGAGGTAAATCACTGCGGGGGATGGGGGGAGGCTGGGGACATTCCAGCTGGTGGCTCCTATCTTGCGCTGGGCTCAGATGCTAGTTCCAGTTGGACTGGGGGTGGGGGAGGATGGGGCTTTCTTTTCCCTTGCCCAGAGCAGCCAGGCCAGGGCCAGGTCAAACCCAACCCCAGAAATCTTCCCTGCCTGCAGGAAGCTCCACATCCTCTCCCCTGCTTCCTGCCCCCATTGCTCCTCAGCCGTGGGAGGAGGGGTCACTGTACGGAGAGCTGCCCCCCGTTTGTCTAACCCCCATGCATCTGAACCCCCTGATACCCAGACCCCCTGCCCTCACTGATAGATAGATTAGATAGAAGGGATGTATGGGGATAGATAGACAGACAGATAGATAGATGATGGATATTCCCTAGAGTGCCTAAGCAGTTCCTTATATGATAAACCACCTCCCATGTGCTTTATAGGCACCACAATTTGTCAGGGCCAGAAGCATGAGCTCTGAAGGGTTTTTAATCACTGCAGACAAATGAAATCCCTTCTCCCCGCTCTCCATGGCCCTTTGCTATAGGCAAATGCCCCGGGAGGGAGAAGGATGGAATAGAAGAGCATAATTAGTCCTCGCCCTTCCCTGCACTGTGCAAGCAGCTAACCCAGCAAGAGCAGCCAGCCAAGACACATGGGTATGTATTCAAAAGACAACTACCTCCTCGGCCCTCGCTGTCCGCTGGCTTCACCTGGATGGGGCGATTCATCTGCAAAACAAAACAAGGAGCAGCGTGGTTAGAGTCTGCAGGCATGGATGGGCTGCTGGCTGGGGGAGGAGGGAGAGGATGGAGGGTGACTACCAGCTGGACACATGGAAGCAGGAGCCACTAGCGTGATCTGTTCCAAGCGGGCACAGCTGTCCAGTTAGGGATTTCCACATGACTGGCCCAGGTGGGGACTGTTAGTATCAAGAGAAAGAAAGATACCCCCAGCTCAGTCATCAGGAAGCTGGCCCTGGATCTGTGGGCCTAGCTGGGATGAACGCTGACATCTCAGCTCCACTGAATGGCAAATGTCCCATTGACTTCACAGGGGCCAGGGCAGAGCCACAGGGAATGGGGCAAGCTTCTGCAAGCTCTACGCCAGGGACACTGAAGGGACAGATGTGCTGCACATGGGATTGGAGCCTCTTGCTGGGATGGAGGGGTAGGCAGGGTGTCCTGGGACAGAAACCAAAAAGAGACACTGGCCAGAGAACCTGCCTGAGGATTGGCCTCGGAACCAGGCAGGCATGGGTGGGTGGGTGGGTGGTGGTGGTGGGGAGGGTGTCAGATCACACCTACCAACAGCCCCTCTAGAGGGGGAACAGCAAGAATATTTCCCACCTCCACCTCTGCCGAGCAACTTACCCGACTAATGCACTGCAGGACTGAGCGGCTGGGCCCTGTGCTGTGCCCCACCCACTCCCCTCTCTGGAGGGCAGGGGCCAGTCCCTGGAGCAGGTAGAGGAGCTGGGTCAGTGACTCTGCCCAGCGAGGACAATAGGGTGGGGGTGAGGAACAGCACCCAACATGGGGGAGGAGCGGTGGGAGTGACAGCCCCGCCCCCCCCCAACGCAGCATGGCAAAGCAGGATCTCCAGCTAGCCATCCCTTCCCCCATCCCTCGTCCCGACGCAAAGCCACCCTCCCCACAGGCAGCCAGAGAACAGCAGCGCTAAACTCTCCCCAGATCGCAGGGATTAGTGGAGGAATTAAGGGTGATAATGATTAACTTCATCAGGGCCTGGCCTTCCCACAGCCCCCAGCCTGGCCGCTTCGCTGGGGGCCAAGGAGCTGGGGCAGGAGAGAGGGGGAGGGCAGATCACTGACGGGGGGCGCTGCTGTTGGGAGAGGGTGACACCTCCCATCTGTATGAGGAGCCAGCAACCTCAGGCCCAGTCCTGCCACCAGCGCCTGGGCACTCGGGCAGCCCAGCCAGCGGGGTCACTAGGGGGCGGCTCTGCTCCCATCAGTAGGACTCCCTGGGCGATGCTGCCCTGGGGGAGGGAGTCTTGGCATCGCTCACTAGTGCCCTCTCTGGCCAGGGAGCACAGGGTCCCCCTGAGCCTGGCGCCCTGCTGCCCCACGTGGCAGCAGGTGGAACTGCATCAGCAGCCCAGCCCGGACCATCCTGGAGCGGTTCACTCCAGCTCTGGGCGGCTGTCCCCTAGCCCGGTTGCTCTCAGGGGCTCTCCATCACAGGCAGGCCTCTGCACCCTCACCCTGGAAAGGCTGCTGGTAAAGCATGCACACAGGAGGTGACCCCACTGCCCGTCCCAAAGGAACCGAGGCCAGGCTGCTGGTGCCACGGCAGGCTGTCCTGGCCATAGGCCCCAAGCTGCTGAAGGGGAGCTCCCAACTGGGAGGTCCCGTGCCCAGCCGGCGGATCTGACAGCAAGGAGTTTCCTACCCCTCTGGTCTTGCTGCCGGGGATGGGCTCCAGCCATCTCATGATTCCCCAAGTCAGCACAGAGCTGTGGGGGAAAAGCCCACAGCCTGGATTGTGCCCATAAGGCCGTAGCTGGTGAGTGTTAGGGCTAACAAGGAGGGGGGTGAAGGGGAAGCCTGCTAAGTGCTAGCTGCTAACCAAGCTCTGTGCTGAGGCTGTGACTGTGACCCTGCCAGTTAGAGGCAGAAAGGGCCTGGCCCGGCAGTATGAACTGGGGGACACTACAAAAGAGAGACAGTGATACCTGCCCTTGCCTGCCTTGTGTTCTGCACTCAGTGACCCCCATGGGTGGTGGTGGGGGGAGACAGTGTCTCAGGCATTTGTTCCTATTTAATTGTGGTTCAGTGGGTGGTAAGGCCAATTACAACTGTACATGGCCAGGCGATACCCTGGGGGACACAGCAAAGCCGGGTTCTCAGGGCGTGGCAGCACACGGCTCAGTGTCTGCCTACAAACACCTTTTGACCCCACGGCTGCTCTCCGTGGCTCCGCGACAGCTACAGGGATGTGCCCAGACTAAGGGAGCAAACCCCACAGACTTGGGGGAGATTCAGGTCCAGATCCAATTCCAGGGCTGCTCTTTGCAGCTCCAGCTATCCCAGCACTTCGCCCAAACAGAACTGCCAGCCTTGTCTCACACAGAGCATTCAGTCCAGGTCTCCCAAGCTGTTTGTTAAACACACCCAGTGCAGCCCCTGTGAAGTGAGCTGGGCCTGGTGGTGCTATCCACCCAGCCAGCCCTAAAGAGACCATGCTCCCATGGAGATGGCAAAACAGGGAGAGACTTAGGTGATCTACTCCACTGCCTGTTCTCCAGTCTGGGAGCTCCCCACAGTGCACACCTGCCTAGTTTCCAAGGACCCCGCCGGCTCAGAATACAGAGTTTATAAACTATACTATGAACGTGCTGCTGAATCAAAAGCACCCTGGATCCAGATCTCAGCAGCCTGCAAGCTTGGGAGTATTTGTGTGCTGCCGGGACCAGGGCACCCGGTAGTGGCTGGTCGCAGAGGCTAGATCAGGTGGCTCACAGCCAGCAGGGTTTGTGCTTTAACCCAAGGGGCTGAAAGACCAAGGTTTGGTCCTGCTGACGGCTGTGGTGTGTAGGCCCATGGCTTGGCACATTGGGGGCTGGGTAAGGCCGGTCTCTGTTTCTCAGTTCTAGAGGGTCCCTTGAGGTGCTGGAAGCTCCAATGCAACAGCTTTGTACTAGCGCTAGACTGGGTCCAACCATGGACAGTAGAAAAGGGGGGGGGTAGTCCCCCCATCCCAACATTTGGGGCTTTTGAAAAACAAAATGAAAAATGTCACCAAAACTTACATTTTCCTGCAAGGAAACCCCAGTTAAACCCCATTTTGGGGCAGGAAGATTTTTTTCAACCCGCTCCACCAAGTGGAAGGGGCCCCAGAGGTGAAACTGACCAGGGACAAACGTGAAACAGACCAGGTGAGTTTCCCCTCTCAGCTGAACAGTGCATACACAGGAAGCTCCAGAACAGGGGTGGCTTCAAGCCGAGGACCCAGGGCCACTAGGCACTTGTCTGCCAAGAGCCATATGAATCTTAGGAGATCCACAGGTTTGGAGGCTGATCCCTCTGCCTCTTCTCCCAGGGAGTGAACCCTGCCCACTAGGGTTCTCAGTCCCCTCTGTGGGAGATGGGGGACAGTCTGCTGGTCTAATCCCACCCCTGCCCAGAGGCAACATGCCATATAAAGTGTCAAGAAGGGAAGCAGTGCTGTGGGAAGGCTGCAGCTGTTCACCCCAGAGGTGGCTGCATTTCGCAGCAGGAATCCTTGGACAAATGCTGCTTTCCGTGTTGCCTGTCTGGCTGCCTGCATTGCTCGCTCGTTGCTGCTCGAGGAACCCAGCAGCCCCGCTCCAGCCAAACCATCTTGCTAACTGATTTGCGTATTAGGAGAAGTTGTTGATGTCATTTGCTGGCTATTAAAGTCAATTAACTTTCCTTGGCCTCGTCAAAATGACAGATGAAAGGATGCTGACATCTCCCATCCATCATCTCACCTGCCCCACCTGACACAACCACACGACACGTCCACTACTTCACAATCGCACGCAGCTGCGCGGGCCACGCTGCAGTCGGCTACCTGCTGGGAGGCTGGTTTGAGTACTTGCAGCCGATGCAGGAGATCAGCCCAGAAAGGGGGAGGTGGCTGGGCAAATTGGGGGCTCAGATACCATTGGAGAGTGCAGTGGATTTACTCTGGGGGGTGGATTTTGGCTGATTGATAATAGCGGTGGAAGATCAGAGAAAGGACTCCCGGCTTGACCTCAGAGCATCATGCCCTGATCCTGCTGGGTTTCTAATTGGGCTTCCAGACCAGCTCCAGCTTTGGGTTGTGGCTCTTTTCCTGCATTACAAGACTGAAAAGGTGACAAACCCAAGGTGCTATGGATTGGGCTTGAGAGGCCCTGGCAGAACTGGGCGGGGACGGGGTGTCAGGACTGGGCTAGCTGGGGGACTGTAGGCTAGGGGGTGCAGCAGTAGACTGGGATAGTGTGGAGGGTTGCAGGTCCGGCATTAGCTGCATAGGTAGGGCTGGGGGTGTCAGTGGAGACCGGTCATAAATCAGCACCACTAGCTGCTCATGCCCCTGGAGCCTCTGCTGAGCCCCTCTCTCTCCGAGGGAGAGACACAGGCTGGGAACGGGTTTGCAGCATGACGGAGCTAAGTGACAGGAGGGCTGTGAAGTGGCTGTTTAGACACAAGTGCCCCTGGGTGCCCTTCTCCAACCACCCACCTGCACGGGCCTCCTGCACATCTGGGTGGGCAGGAGACTTGGCAGGCCAGGGCCAAGGCAGCAGCAGCCACAAAGTTCCTGTGAACTTCTCCTCTGCCGGAGCCCAATGACAAATATTTCCTTTCAATTACCCCCCGGTTCATAAAGCTAATGCCTGTTCCAGGCGGTGAGCCGTACCCCTCATTACGCCGGGCTGCTGCCTCACTACATTAGTTTTATGGCCTGGGCCTGGGCCGGGCCCAGCGGATCCTGCCAGCGGTAAGACTAACAAATTAGTCAAACTGACACCGAGGGGAATTTTTACGAGCCCCGGTTCCAGCTTGTCACCTGCAGTATCTCCACGCTCCTCTATACCTGAAGGAAGGGCGAGGGCTTGGACTGCCAAGGTCCCCCTCCCTCCCTGGGGAACCCATCTTCTGCCCAGGGGCACTGAGATCAGCTGGGCAAGACCTGATCCTCCGGCAAACCACAAACAGTGACACACTGGTGAATGGAGGAGCCACTGTTCCCCGTTGGCA